AGAATTCGAATGTAAATAAAATTCGAACTGAATTTGTTGCTATTATAACCATTCTGGTCACCTGTTTTTAAGTTCCAGTCTTGGGCACTAGTATATACTTATTTGTGATGTCGTGATTTTTATTTTTAATAAACTAATAAGTCTTATAGTACTATATTTTTATTACTCACTACAGATATTTTAAACTTTGATCAAAATGGATTTAAATACAGCTGTGATTAATTATCGGTCAGGCTTTAATAAATCATTCTACTAAGTAATATTGTAATCTATACGAGAATATTTGATATCATATTTGCGTAATTATAAGAGTTCTCTATAAAATCCATAAGTAAATTTGTTAAAAAAAAAAACTTTATCGTAGGATGTCATATCCTCACAAAGCCCACTAATAATATTCTTTTCTCTCGTTTTTTTTCACATAAACCTAACACAATCTTTGCAAAAAAAATTTATCATCATTTCATAATGATTTATTTCCGTGTATTATTCACCTCATTACTCGTCGCAGAGCTCTTTCATATGCTAGTGCATCTTAAAGTACTTTTTAGCATTTCATTTCCGGGTGGTTTTTACACAGCTCAACAACTTTGGAATCGTTATGCGTATTTCTGGCTTGATTTGTTAACAGTGTTAATCTCATATTTTACATTAAATTTGATGTTTTTGGAATTGGAAATTTTTATGACACCAATGGTTCAACAAAAGGATAAAATTCTTTATCATAATTTCACGAAATTTGATATTATGAAAGAAGAATTTGAATTATTCAGTTATGTACAATCAGCCAATTGCAAAGAATGGAGTTGCATGATTAAATTGAACGAAATTGAGACAACTCTCTTTTATTTTATCACAACTGTTTTATTTATTGGTCATGTTACATTGAATGTATTTTATATTTGTGGATGGTTTACCGGATACAATGAATTTTTGAAAACTTTGCAAAATTATCATGAAACAATGCCGATGCAGGAGATTGATACAATAGGTGAAGATATGTACACTCAAGAAACGTCTTTGTCTATGGGTCATATCACGCGAAGTAATACTTCTATAACTCATGAAATGTTTAATATGACAAGTTTTGATGCGTCAAATCCATCATTAAATTATGAGGAATTAACTACAAATGATGATAAAAAATTCCAGAATGACATTTATTTTAAAGATAATATAGAAAAATTTACTCATTTCACACCCTCAGTTGATGAAGATGCTACAGCTAGTCAGTTGTTAGAATTATTAAGGGAAAAAACTTGTTCTACAATTGTTGATGATGATTTATTTTCCACCCAACTTACTACTGGTAACCAATACCAAAAAGAATATACGACAAATACCAGCAGTCAAGGCTCAAATGCTGCTATTTCCGAAGATCATTTACCTCAGAGTTCAAAAGAATATTTGGGAGGGCATTACGTAGAAAAAGTATTGATTTGGTCTGCAGCTCAGGGATGGGAGGCGAAGCAGCGTGCACCTTGGCATTGGATTCATACTATTGAAACAGGATTGGATATTTTGGTTCATATGGTATTTGTTATGTGGCATGTAAAGGTTTTAAATAATTTGTGAATTACTTGAATGTATTGACAAACTTGTATTTCTTGGTCATGCAAGTTTAAATATGTTTGTTGTTCAAATAAGTAATGTCACGGATATTTAATTAATAACAATTTTATGAATAGTGAATTATCCTCAAAAAAAAAGAAGTTTTTATAAATTGTAAATGAAATATGTTAATACTAATGATGATATGCCTTTTCTTATGAATTATATTACTCTAGAGCACAGTGTGCCTTACTGTGTGAAAATTATTAGGAATTTTATCTTATTGATATTAAACATTAATATAGGCTTTTGCTTTTAACTGTTGCATTTAAAAGTACAGTTAATCTCTATAATCACTTTCTTAAGGTTATAAAGATACGTTCACAATATTTTAGTACATATAAGCCCAAAATCTTTTTATAAATCTGTTTAAGATATAGTAAAACAAAACATATTCCCGTAAAACTTCGGATAAACTATCTCTTACCCAAACTTAAACACGAACCTAAATTTTTTGCTTATTCTTTTTATATCTTAAATCCTGTCTATTAACGTACCAGTATTTTTATTAGTGCTTCATAATATATTTTGTTAATCAGATCAATAGTTTGTGTATCGATTAATTTACATAATAACGATAAAAAAAACAAAAATACTACAGCGCTTGAATTATTTAAAATTTTGGTTGCTTTCTTTATAATAAAGTATGTTTTGTTTCGAACTAAAGATTATGGAGATTCATTTATTTTACAGCAAGCTTTTAATAAAACACTAAAAGTCTGGCATCAAATAAGAAAAGACGATAATCAAGAAAAAAAATTAGGAATTGGAATCGTTTAAAATTTTCTTTTAAATGTGTTAACAGTAGAGATGGGCATTCTGCATTATGTGTATTACATTATGCAAAACATAATGTCGCATAATGTAATGCAGACATTTTACGTAAATTTTAAAATGCACATAGAAATTACTATATGGGCTAGGTGCTGAGAAAAGGGACGAAATTGACAAAAAAAAAGATCTTCAGAAAATCTTTTTTTTTTTTTGAATATTAATGGTGAGACCAGCACCTAGCCTATATAATTTTAATGCAACAAAATTTAAAAAATATTATATTTTATATCATATGTAATACTAATATATAGCATCAGTTAGTAATTTCCTACCTGTATAAAGCAGGCTAACTAATATGAGGTTTGAAAATACCATGAAGTAGTAAACTTCTGTCTAGATATGAGAAAGTTTGGGTATGAATCTTGCTTCTTGATTTTGGTAGAACTCTATGATTGCACAATGCCATATGCTGCATTATGCTGCATTATGCATTGCAGAGCCAAAAAAATATGCATTCGCACATCTCTAGTTAACAGTTTAATTCAGTCAGCATCAAAAATAATCATGGCATATAATTCTTTCTGGTGTCCAAAATTAAAATAAAACTACGCTATAAATCCTGTGATTATGAAATTTAGCGTCACAAGTGTCGAAGCTTCGAAGGTTTGTAGGTCAAATCATAATAAACAAATGCAATAGTCAAACATCTGAAGAATGAATACGCGTAGAAGGCTTGAGTTAAAAGATGAAAAAAAATATTATAATGATCTGTGGATAGTTTCTTGTAGAAAAATAACAAAATGCAAAAGCTTTCTCCCTTAGCTAGGGTAATATAACATAATGTTAGTTAAGCTCATTTTTTATAAGACAAAAATGTGTGCTTTAAGAGCTTGGCTGTAAACAAAAAGAATTCAATATTCAAAGTTTCTTACAATAGTAAAAGCTATAAAAATATTGTAGTTTCATCGAGGGCTAGGTTCGGGCAGGTATGACCAGTAATCGATCAATAACCGTAACCAATATTGACCATCAGAGGTGGTTAATCAACCAGTCAAAATTATGACCAATGTCAGATTTTTAATTTTCTGACTAATGAATAATATCAGTCACATAATTTGTTATACAATTATATATATATATGTATTTGTATATATAAAATTATAACAAAAACATATAGAATTACATATAAATTTTATTGTGATGATGTTTCTTCCCTTACATATTAACTTTAAATTAAATTTTACAAATAAATACATCAAGAAAAGGAGAATAAAATATGGTTTAAGCTGAATTAAAATTTTGCAATTTTGATACAATTTGTATAAGGGAAGAAACATCATCACAACAAAGTTTATATGAAATTCTATATGTTTTTGCTATAAGTTTTTATATACAAAAATTTAGATATAATATATCATATAACTGATATAGAGTTATTGAATGCAAAGCAACCAATAATAATTATCTGGCTGTGAAATTTAATTTGTCAGCTTCTGAATAGTATTCTAGCTATAGCAAAGAATGTTTTGATTATGTAATAGGTAAAAAATTTTTAAAAGTTTATTTATGATCAAATTAATGTTTATATTAGAGTTAGATTTTAGTAAAATATATGTAAAATCTCCCAAGAAAAATTTTTTGTTAGAGCACAGAAGGCAGTTTCTTATAAAAATTCTCAAGAAATAGCAAGTTTTGAAAAACTAATTGTTTGTTAAATCATGTTATATTATACAAAATTGGAAGTTGTTATAGATAATAATCTACAGATCATCATATGCTTAAATATTTTTTGCTATGGTTAGGGTATTTAAAGGTAGAGTATACATCGATCATTTATTATATGATTTTAGTAGTACAATTAGATTTTATACAAAATTGAAATATACTATTAATAAAAGTTTTTGAAACCACAACTGCTACCTTACTAAATGATACACTCATAGTAGTTAGTAAAGAAAATGATATAAGTAAGCAGGTGGGCAAGCCTATTTACACAGAGGATTATTTATATAATAATCAGACTCAATACACAGAACAGACTATAGAATTCTATATAGCTGTAAGAATCAAGCTTAAAATAGTGAATAATCCTATAGAAGACATCTCTAATATTGGCAAATCATTTTTAACATCTTTAGACTCCTATAATAAGCCAACTCAGCATACTAACTATACTGATACTTTTGATACTAATGAACTATACATAATTATATACAACTATAATATATGCTATAACAAGATTTTATTGTTCCTCAATTTTCCTACACTTCTGTATCCTCAAACTATTAATTCTTTTATTAAATATCTTGAATCCTTCTATTACAATCTTAATAATATATATAACAGTACTTTTTATATATTAATTAAAGAAGACTACAGAATAGCATATATTTATTTTTAGTCTAAATACAGATTTTCACTATATAGATATTTCACAACACTAGTTGAAAGTTATAAATATTTTTCCTTCATTCTGCTTTCTAATATCTCAAATATTTGCTCACTTAAATTAGAAACTATTCCTAATATGCTTAAAGATAGTTGGACTTACAATCTATATTATTACTTCCAACAAGATGTATATCTTAGCATTTATAATACTGAACAAACTACTGATCCAGATTCAAAACCTCTTCAACATTTATTATATCTATGCTATAATAGATTTTTCAGATATCATAACTTGTCAATACTATCTAAACTACAAACTATTATCTTATTTCTCAACCATCTTAGCCTTTTTTAATATAATCTAGAAAATTTACATATTTATACCCTTACTTTTTCTATTAAAAAAGCTATTCTTAAGTGCACATATATCTACCCTTTAAATCTAAATCACTACCAGATCATTTTATCTTATCTAGAGAAGCTCTAAAGCATTATCGCAATATCCCTCTTAAATTTAATAGCTATATTATACTTAATATATTAACAGATTTCTTCTTAGCTATTCAATTATTAATATCTGGATCTTTTACTGCAAATATATAGAATGCTACACCACAATCAACACACTACTATTATGCACAACACAAACAGTGCTAAATAATGTCTCCTCTAGTAATATACTAATAATAACTTCTGATCAAATCTCTAAAGAATCTGCATTCATACTTGTAGAACTACTGTTACTATTGCAAGAATCAATAAATATCTCTACAAACTTACCTAGCCCACCTTCAATACCATCTATATTATAAACTTCTGCATCTACACAAAAATTTTATGATCTAGATCTAACAATTGCTACATATAATATTAAAGGCTTCAATAATATAACTAAATAAGAAGCATAGCAAAATTACTGCCTCTATAATAACATTCATATTGTTTGTATTACTGAAACAAAAATTGCTAATAGTACTAACCTTTATTTCTATAATAATAACTTATTCACCTACATTTAGGCTAACTCAAATAGCTCAGCAGAAGGTGCTGCCATCATGATACATAATCATCTTAAACCTCATATTCATAACTGCTAAACACATCCTAGTAGAGCAATTGTCCTTGATCTTTTCTTTAAAAGCGATATTAAGCTTCATATCATATATACTTACCTGGTATCTACAGATATGCTCAAGTGGAATATAATACAAAACAAAGTTATTACATAGATTTAACAAGCTCATCAACTTAATCTTCACCCAATCGTACTTGATAACTTCAATACACATAATAATGTTTTTAGCACATCATCTAAATATCAACTTATTAACTATCTACATCATGCTAATATATATGACCTTGGTACATACACTAACAATATACACTATACATGGTTAAATAATACTAGTTACGGCTGTATTGATTACATTTGGACTAATTTATTTAATATAATCTTGATAATAGTTATACCTCTACACTTAGTGACTACTCTATTCTTCTTTTCTTCTGAATATTCACTAATGCATATAGCAAGCCTTACTGGCATTAGCCGAAGAATTTTTAATTGCAAGGACATATCATTTAAGAAGTAGTCAGAGTTTGCTAATCTTCTTACCTATAATCTCAACTTACACCACACTCTTTTTAATAATAACACTATTGAAAGCATTGAAACCACTTGACATAAAATTGAACATTCAATTATTAATATAGCAATACACATTATACCAAATAAAAAAACTAAAAATATAGCTATAACTATAAATATACACTCTATTATACTTTACTTTATTTAGTAT